TGTGAGCTGTGGCTCCTATGTGCGGTCACACATGGGAGCTTGTTTAGCAGCAGAAGCCGGCCATTGTTACTGACAAGGCAATGACTGGTGTTGGCTACAAGAACAATTATCTAAGCCCCTCCCTGCATCTTATGGAATATATAGTTGTTTCTATTCAGCTTTCCTTTTCAACTGTTTCCTGGATGACTACAACTAATGCACAACAAGTAATGCACTGTTTAGATAGAGTAATTAATACTATATATTTTTATCACGTTATGATTTATATATTTGGCAATGGTACAGGATCTAGTTATTATCCTCAGAGTGAAGAACAGAGATGTAGTGTTCAACACCATAGCTCCGAGACACTGTAATCACAATAAAATCCCGGTCTGTAACTTATTTGGGGCTCCGACACAAACGTATGTTGATCTATCTTGGATAACACATAACAGCTGCCGCGCAAAGTAAAAATGTAAGAAAAAAACATAAAGATCTGTCAGTCCGTAAAAAGTGAACAGAACTTATTTTAGTCAAGGTCCCTTGCTTCAAGTACAACTGTGGGATTCCTTTCTAACCATGTAAGATATAGGCGAATGCGTCACATCAACATATGCTCCAGTGATTATTGACAGAAAAGTAAAGTTCAGGGCAGATCTTACCTTTAGTACAGTCCCATTTGTGAAGCATCCAAGAATCAATGTTCGTCAATATTTCTCAGGTTTCTCAGCTATCAGCAACGAAATAAGTCTTGACTGGTCTCTCTCCAGATCAGCACTAACCGACATGCCCACTTGCTACTTTGAAGTCTAACTCCTCATGTGAACCCCTAAAAAACAGGTGTCCGACAGCAACACGTAACAGAACTGCAATAATGCTGAACAAACTTTGGTGGATACACCATGACGGCTGGCCAAGTGAAAGGACAATTAGAGGAGTTTAATAACTTACCATATCCATTATATCATGTCCATTTCTAGAATAGTCTACATTATGTTTTAACTTCAGATTCTAATAGGTGCATACCATCACGCCCCGAACAGCATTGCACAGAGGTAATGTAACATCTGTCACCCACGAAAATCTCTGTTAGCAGGGGTCTTAGTATGACATGTACTTGAGGTTATGCAACATGGAGTAGCAAGAGTCAAGAGTGCAAGGCAACACAATCAGAACTACTGAACTGAAACATATTAAATGGTACGACACATGCCAAGGAGTGGTTTCACTATTTTCCAAAAGAAGCAACACATTTTACTGACATGATGGACATCAGGCATGAGAAAGACAATAGGTTCTTTGCAGTTTGATAATTGTCTGTTTCAGTGCAACATAATTGTCATTGAACTGCACTCGACTAAAATAGAGAACATGAGAACAAAATTACATGTTGAACCTGCTAGTATTTTCTTATTGACACATCCATATCATAGCGTACCAGCATCACATGTCTATGTCCAAGCAACTCAGGCATGCCTCCGGTCCTAGTAACAATCCTTCTCTGATAAGCCCACGTGCACACCATAATTACTCCATACAAGTACAGCACATCCAGTGATCGTTCCACCATGAATAGCTTTCGAGAAAACGGAACTTTTCCAGTCAGAGGTAGGAAACACAGAAACAATATCAAAGCAAAATGAAGAAGAATACTAACCAGATGATGTGAAGCAAGCATATCTCGTGAAACCATGATCTTGTGTGGTATTCATCTTATGCTTTTGTCATAAGAAGCTTGACTGAACCAATACTTGACTTGATGTCTGGTCCGCTAAGCTCCAAGGCCAATACATTTCTTTAATATGCTGCAGTACTTCTGTAGCTTGGCATCAATTCTTTTCAGCTCACTTTCTCTTTGAGTGTGGGAATAAACCAGCTAAGCTGGCCCCAGTCGTCAGATTCACTATTTCCAGCATAGCCATGCCAAATATTTTGCCAGCTCGCCCAGAAAAAAGACCCATTACTACTGCTCATAATTGTACTACTGAGCTGCAAGCCTGACATATTGCATATGTGATGCTTGGGTTTTTTGCACAACTTCATATGCCAGACGCTACATGTACATCACTCAATTGTTGGCATTATAGCTTCTACATAAATTAATAATGCAATAATTTCACACGAGCATCTCATATTTCCCTTTTCATCTTCCATTTTCTAAAATCACAAAACACTACACATGGCCGTAGATCAATCAAGCTCCCTTCGTCAAACTAGCAACAGAAATATCAGGAAAATCAATCTGCACACTTGCTTAAGAATGCAGTTATGCAAAGCATAAATTAAGGGCAACAGCAACATTTCTTCTTACTTTGTGAGGTGCAAGCTACTTTTCAAAAAAGGAGGAAAATTATGGTGTAGGGGCACTCATGCGGTACCAATCTAAAACTAACATAACATTTAATAATTTAAACAACATAAATGCCTGCCCCCCATCCTAGCCCTGTCTTGACAAATCTTTCAGGAAGTACCCTGAAAATGAGGCACAGCCAGATGTATTTGTCAAGGTCCCCTGTACCTTAATGGTACAACTCCAGGGGGCTGCATGACTTTACTGAAACACATGGAGCCCATCCATGTGTGAGCATGTGCCTCTGATACTGCAATTTGGACTGTCCATCATAGCCAAGTATCAGCTGAGGTGGCAGCTATAAACACAACCAACTGCAACGACAAACACATCGCACCAAGCCACTGATGGTTGAACTCTGGCACAAGCCATATCTTACAACCTCAGCCTCATTAGGCAAATGACAAATCATAATATATAGCACCATGAGCAATAATTTTGCATTAGTATGGGAATGACGCCCATGTGGAATACAGAGCCAAATGCATACAGTTTCACATCATGGTATTTTGAAAAGGTTGATAACTTCGTTGAATACTTTACAGAAAACACCAGGAAGCGGTTGTCCAGACTGGGGATTCCAGCTAAACAGAAAGCTTGGTTTAATTGAAGTAGCACGGTATTGCCTAACTTGAAAAGCAGTGTGCGACTACAGGCCCATCAGCCTCATCCACCTCGTCGCCAAGATCTTCGCGAAGGTGCTGTCTCTCCGCCTCGCGCCCAAGCTCAATGACTTGATCAGTCCCATCCAGAACGCCTTCATCCCCGGACGCAGCCTCCACGACAACTTCTTGATCGTGCGACAGTCGGCGCGCCTCCTCCACCAGCTGGGAGCTCCGCGCATCCTCCTCAAGCTTGATCTCACCCGCGCCTTCGACTCCGTCTCATGGCCCTTCCTCTTCGAGGCCCTGCGTCGATATGGGTTCGGTGATCGCTTCCTTGGCTGGATTGCCATCCTGCTCTCGTCGGCCAGCACCCGAGTCCTCCTAAATGGCGCGCCTGGCCCGGCGATCTCGCATCGATGTGGACTCCGCCAGGGCGACCCGGTGTCACCGCAGCTCTTTGTGCTTGCTGTCGACACGTTGGGGCGCTTGTTTCGCCGGGCTGCTGAGCTCAACATCCTGCAACAGCTGCACCCCCGTCGTGCGATCCCCATCATCTCGCTTTATGCCGACGACGTCATCCTCTTCTGCCACCCCTCACCCAGCGACACGTTGGCGGTCAGAGAGATTCTGCAGCTTTTTGGCAGAGCTTCAGGCCTGCGGATAAATTTTCAGAAGAGCACGGCCACGATGATTCGTTGCGTAGCCGAGGAGGTCGCTCCGGCCATCGCGACGCTGGGATGCCCCATCGCGCAGTTCCCCATCACCTACCTGGGTATCCCCCTCACCTTGCGACGCCCGACTGCTGCCCAACTGCAGCCCGTCGTCGACAAGACTGCCGGGAAGCTGCCCACTTGGAAGGCGCACCTCATGAACAAGGCTGGACGCCTCGCCTTTGTCAAATCCGTGCTCTGTGCAATTCCCCTGCATCAACTCCTTGTGCTCGCGCCGCCGAAGAAAGTCCTCAAACTCCTTGAGAAGATCCAGAGAGGCTTCCTCTGGGCTGGCCGCACCGAGGCTCAAAATGGCAACTGCCACGTGAACTGGCGCCGCGTCTGTCGCCCCACACACCTAGGCGGCCTCGGCATTCATGACCTGGAGCGCACGGGCCTTGCCTTGCGCACCAGATGGCTCTGGTTCGCGCGCACAGACGGAAACAGGGCCTGGGCTGGCCTCGATCTGCAGTTCTCCAGCGAGGAACGTGCATTCTTCTTTGCGTCCACCTCCATGGTCCTTGGCGATGGTCGGCGAGCATTGTTCTGGGAAGACCGATGGATCAACGGGCAATCCATCTCTGAGATCGCCCCCCAGCTATATGCCCTCATCCCCAAGCGCCGCCGCAAAATAAGAACAGTGGCCGATGGCCTCCAGGCGCACACATGGGCATCAGACATCCATGGCGCCCTTGGCATCCAAGAGATTGGCCAATACTTGCTAACCTGGAGGGCCATCGAGAATATCACTCTCTCTGGTGATCCAGACCAGCTCCATTGGAAGTGGAATGCTGCTGGCACATACACCGCCCAGTCCGCGTACCTAGCCACCTTCCATGGCTCTACTTCCTGCCCGGCATGGAAACTTAATTGGAAAGGCTGGGCCCCCCCGCGAGTGAAGTTCTTCCACTGGCTCGCTAGCTTGGGACGCTGCTGGACAGCTGATCGTCTCGCTCGCCGCGGACTGCCGCACCCTCCTCGCTGCCCGCTATGTGATCAGATGCCGGAATCGATGAACCACCTGATCATGGACTGCCCCTTCACCAAGCAGATTTGGCACGACATCCTGTCTTGGCTGCACCTCCCTTGCAGTGCACCTAATGGTGAAAACTCCCTGTCGACCTGGTGGCACACGGCGCGCCAGACCACACCCAAGCTGATGCACAAAGGACTAACATCCGCGACGCTGCTGATCCCTTGGATGACCTGGAAGCATCGCAACGATTGTGTCTTCAATGCAGCCACCCCTTCGACTAGCGTCTTGGTTGCAAAGATCAAAGAAGAAGCTGCGCTCTGGGCGACCGCGGGTGCTCGAGGCCTGCGTGTCATCCTCCCACAGACCTGGGATGTACACTGAAGTTATTTTGTGTTTCTCGCCTGTAATGGTGCCTCCTAGGAGGATGTAACAAACTATCTCTCTCTTTGCAATTTAATGAAACGCAAAAGCCTTTTTGCGTTTTCTCAAAAAAAAAAAAAGCAGTGTGCAACCTAACTCTGACTAAAATGAGTAGTTATCAGAATTCATAACCTCTGAGCATGATCGATTTTAGTTAAACTTAGGCCTGGTGATGATAATACCCTATTACACAGCTATAATTATTAAGGAGATACATATAGCTATTTACTTTTGATTACTAGAGAAAATGAACTGGTACTTAACTGAGGTATTGTCACCTTTCAAACTATTCATCAGCAACATAAAAATGCATCAAGTAATAGGGGTTATTCAGCATTCCTGTTGAAACACCTTTTTACCATTTGCCTTGATGCGAAAGAACTAAGAAGCAATGGTGTGCATTCTTCAATCCAATTTTTTTGGTGTGAGTGTGGGGATGTCTAACAAATAATTCGCATACAAAGTTAATCTGCAGAGTCTGTGTATATAAAACAATGGAACTGAGAAGCTGATCCCAGGTCAACATCCAGTCATTCCGCCACGCTGCCTTGAACATTACTAGTTACAGGTCAACCCACTATTGGTCTGAATCTTTACCAACCATGGTTATTATATAGAAGTACTCCCTCCGTTTTTATTTACTCCGCGTATTAGCTTTGGTCAAAGTCAAGCTTTGTAAACTTTGACTAAATTTATAGACAAAAATATGAACATATACAATAACAATTCAATACCATTAGATTTATTATTGAATGTACTTTCACATCATATAAATTTGTTATGATATCTATTTATATTCGTTTCTATAAACTTGGTCAAATTTTAAGAAGTTTGACTTCAGTCAACTCTAATATGCAGAGTAAATAAAAACGGAGGGAGTATAACAGAACATATGTCTTACTAGAATATATAGAGTTTGCACTTTTCTGAGCATGGCCAGTATCTTCCATCAACAACCACAGAAACTGCAATTTTAGCACTCAATGTATTGCACTTTAAAAAAAATAGTACAATCTCAGAATAAAGTAAACAACAGAAGACTAGATGTGAACATTACAATATGAATTCATACTCCAAAAAAATTCCTGACTCATACCAACATTTCAATGTACAGAGAGAAAATCATGCTTATTATGTAGGTTTGAGTACGATTCTATAGCAAGATCAGCCTCCGTATCCTTGTAGATCACACAAGGAAAATGTCAGGTATGAGTCATGCCATGAAATGTACCCCTCCAATAATGCTCAGCAAATTCGGTGGTCATATATCAACAATGCTTAATAGGACAAAATCTCATTATTGTCTCTGCTTGCCCCCACGAGTGCATGAGTCGTACGGACTAGCCACATTAGACCCAAACATATATCACATGGGTGGAGCAATAATGAAATTATTTCAAGAATCAGGCTATGCACTTTTCATGCTGCCAACTGAACTAGATCATGCGCTTTTCATGCTACCAGCAACCAGAAGAAAGCAATGTAACAAGCTCGCAAAAAAAGCATTACTAGAATCATACAAATATCAGGGCACCCTAAAATCTGCAAATATCTCTTGATGGAGCATGGAGAGAACAGGGGGAAAACCACATGCCATCTCACCTCAGATTCTCACTTGTCACTTGATGAGGTCAAGCCGGCGCGTAAAAGAAAAAGGAAATGAGCCTGTACATAAACCATGAGCAGAAAACCTGCAATACTACTATGGAGACAAAGCCCAAAGGACCAAAATCAGCAAACACCATCTCCAATTTTGAGTATAATGTAGAAGAAGCCCTGCCGTATGAACAGTACACAGAAATCCTGTCATATACTCGTAGATCAGATTCTGCCGTACATTCCAGGCCTCATTCGAGCAATTCAGTAAGCTGGAGGTACGTTTAACTAGGAACTGCTTGCGCTCATTTTGCATCACGGGGATAAAAACTACAGAGTAGAGTAATAGTAGGCGACCCAAATCCCTGAGCTCCTAAAGAACACGCGCATCAGGTAATCTTCGCGCCAGTTCCTAATAGTTCCCAAGAGGACGCGCAGAGGAGTACGAACCTAGGGGAATGCGGAGGTCGGCGGGGAACTGCCGCGCTGGCAGCGAGCGGAGGCGCGGCCGCCCGTGCGCCGCGGCGGCCGCTGCTGCTGCTGGTGGTCCCGGTGGAGGCAGCAGAGAGTTGTGATGTGGACGACGGCCCACGGCCTGGAGATTCGGCCCGGTGGAGGCAGGAGAATCGGGAAGGGCTCTTTGCTGTGGTTTTAGGCCTGCACGTACGTGTCAGAGACTTGACCCGGCCCGACTAATATACGGTTCAACGGTTCACCAAGACCGGTCGTTGTCAAGTATAGAAGAAGCCTCAAAAAAAGTATGGAAGAAGCCTGCCAGCGTCCTTTCTCGGCAACGTTCCGGTCCTAGGGCTATGGTTGTTGCGTCCTCTCCAGTCTTGGGCTCGTCGACGTCCTAATGACTCTGCCCGACAGCTTTCAATGTTTTCCCGCCTGCTTCCTGCTATGATTTCAATATATGCCAGCCATCAGCTGGTCCGTTCAAAAAAAAAAGACTCTGCCCGACAGCTTGGATCTGCGTTGGAGAAGGGTAATCGAATTGGGCCTTCATGATGCCGACCTAGCCGAGTGATTTCTTGGCACAAAGTCGGTCTGTTCATGCCTACTAGGCTGAATCATTGTCATGGGCCTATCCTAGGGGATCCCGCCACCACAACACATAGCACATTCTGCTAACGGAGATGACGAAAGATGTCAACAACGCCGAAACATTAGTTTCCATCCAAGCAAGCACCCAAATTATAGTCATACCCAAAGCCAACATCGAGCCATGCTATTCTTACCAATTTTACGGAAATCTTGTGTTACTAGTTGAATCGAATGGCGGTTATCTTCACATTTACTCCAGGTAGTTATTTCCTCCTTCACAGCACATACAATCTTCATAATAAGTAGTGCGTAGGAATATGATTTCTGTCCAGATATATACTCCAACATATATGAACCCCGTAAAGAAACAACAAAGTATATTCAGTTCTTTTTTTTTTGCGAAATATTGCTTGCATTACTCAAAATCAGGTGTTACAATCTCGTCTTACAATTTTCAAGACCTTACCTGGACCAGAGCCTAATCAAACCATAATTTGGCGTTGCAACCTATCAAAATTAGACAAAGACGTGACTAACCGCATTACAATTTCGACGAGTATGAGCAATGCAAGAAACCCTCTCCCCATACTATTAATGATCTCTCTAATAATAAAAGAATATTCTGGCTTGTTACCAGTCCCTCCTTTGATCATCATGACCGCCTTAGACTAGCCACAGTGGGAGTAACTTCAGCAGTAACTTCGAGTCCAACTCAGCAAATTTGCTTATGTGGCAATGAGTTAATAAGGAGAGAGGTAGTTGTAGTAACTTAGCTAGTTACTGTAACATCACATGTCCCAATGCAATATGAGTCTATAACCTAATAAATGAATCTTTGCATGTTACCACCCTTAAGTTATTATCCACTATGAAAATAGTAACATAATCTAGGGATATGTGTATGTTACTAGTGTATATTACTATCCATTGTGGCTAGTCTTATAGCAAGCAGTTCGGCTTCTAATCATTGCATGAGAAAAGATGTCTGCAGGAGCTAAAGCTAATAGCTCCATCATGGTCTCTAGCTAAGTACCATACCCACTCCTGCATTGTCACCAAGGACCGAACACAGATCTCCAACGTATCGTATATGTATCAATGCAAGTACCATTTCTTAAGTATCGATGCCATATATAGCGTCCTTTTGCCTTCGAATGTATCGTATACTTACATATGTGTACAAATCAAAACAGTACAGCTGTAAGTTGAATCGTTAGGAACAACACCCCACGTCACAGGATCGAGCTGTAGTATACTTCGAGAAGGAAAAAAGAATACCGAGTTTTTTTTAGGCAAGAAAAAGAAAAAGAAAACTGAGTAGCAATAGAGGTTTTTTCTTGGGCCCGGTTTGGGCCATAGCTAGACGGAAGGTGCAGGCAGGGCCGATCGAGGAGGAGCGATCAGACGGGCCGGATGCCGTGCTTGAGCGCCGCCTCCCAGACGACGTCGATGCGGTCGACGTCGATGGCGCCCACCTCGTGGTGCGCGTAGCCCTCGAGGAAGTGCACGACCCCGCCGGCGTGGCAGGCGTGCACCACCCCGCGCTCCAGCGAGAACTCGCAGGAGCCGAGGCCCCGGGCGTCCTTGGGGAGGCGCATGGCGGCGAGCTTGCCGTAGGTGCAGTCCCGGCGGAAGCCCAGGATGGGGGGCACCACGAACTGGTGGAAGTGCGTGCCCGGCGGCGCCCACCGCTGCTCCCGCGGCGACAGCCACTTGCCGACGATCCACGTCTTGCACTGCTCCGCCGACTGGAACTTGGTCACCTGCACCAGGTACTGCTGGTCCTCCGCCGCCGCCTCCTTCTGGATCTTCTGGAACCTCTCCGTCGACAGCGTCATCATCTGCAGTTCAAGACGATTAGCCGCAGCTCGCTTACACACTGATCAGTCCGCTTCTGCGGCGTGTGTTTACCATGACGCGGATCTTCTTCCTGCAGAGGTAGAGCGCGATGGCCCTGCCGAGCTTGGAGGTGGCGCCGGTCATGAAGACCTCGGTGGTGCCCTTGGGGATCTCGTTGAGGATGACCGCGGCCGTGAGCGTGTTGCCGTGGACGACGCGCACCCGGAGGTTCGGGTGCTTGTTCACGAACAGCGTGCCGCCGCCGTTGAGCGCCTCGTTCTGCACATCACCACCTGGGCAGTTAGGCACCATTTACAGGCAGCAGCTAGGTGCACGGCATGAAGTGAAGAAGAGACCTTGTTCAGAGCTGCAAGGCTGACGACTTTGACGCCCATCCTGTCGGCCCTCAGGATGGCCAGCTCGATCTGGTCGTTGATGCCGTCCTTGGCGAACGGCAGGAAATACTGCATGATAACGCAGAGACAAGAAGCTCGATGGATCAGCTAGCAAAAGAATTCTGAAGCTAGTGGTAATCAGAAACATGTAGTGTGCGTACGTGGAAGCCGTATCTGGGGACGGCCCAGATCTGGTGCAGCTTGCCGCGGAGGTGGTAGTAGGAGATGACGAAGGTCTTGGACCAGGCCCAGACCATGAACATGAAGAGCAGCGCGATGGGCCAGAGCGGCAGCAGGAAGGCCCGCACCGCGAAGGGCGTGGAGGCGAAGGTCCGCATCACGAACGGCACGTGCATCGACTGCATCACGTCCACCACGTGCGCCAGGAACACGAAGTCCGGCACCTCGTCCATCCCTGCACCCATGACCCAGGTAACAAATTCAGAGCCGATACATGCATGCAGTTACTAATACCACTCAATAATGCCATGGAGACTTAAGTGGAGTGAAAGTTGGTTGGGACGCCATGCCATGGCGGCAACCGCTGACTCTGCTGTACGTAGTGCAGTCCCCAGCTGCTCGATTGCTTTCCTAATCAGCCTAGAGTACGAAGATTGCTGTGCCGAGTGCTGGCCGCACAGGCGGCGTGCACGTCATCCCTAATGGCGCGCTTCAACTCCAGTATTAGGATTACCGATGGCATATCCCGTTCGGCGTCGCTGCGGAGCGGATCCGCGACAGGGACTCCGGCCCTAACCTGCAGTTAAGCACGGACCTTTCCGTTCCGTCCGCCTCTGCAATCAACGCGCCAGCTGTTGCAACTACGCAGACGGATCAGGCTGCGTACTGGTAAGTCTAGTACGGTCCAGAAGCTTCTGCGTGTGGAGCACCAAAGTTGCCGGCGGGTGCGTGCCCCGTCCGAGTCTAGCACCGCACTACGCATGGACATGGATGGAACCGGCCGAGCCGGACATGCAGCAGGGCGGACGCAACCTGGCTACTAGAAACTGTGGCGGTAGTGCTCGAGTTGAAGAGATTTTATTTTACCTGCTCTGTTCTTCGTCTGCAGCTCCCAGGAGCTGGCGTCGAGCGTGCCGCCCAGGCGGTCGAACAGCGGCATGAAGAGGCAGAAGTTGGCCTTCTTCCCGGTGTGGTGGATCGTGTGGTACCTGCGGCAAAAAGGCCAAGCGTCAGCTGGCTAGCCATACCATACGTGCCCGATAGATATGTGGGAACGAACGAACGATACTATGTTGACAGGTGACCAGGGAAGCGGTTGGCGAGACGCCGGCACCGGCAGTAATGCGCGGCGGAGCTCGATCGGCGACCCGCTGTTCCCCGCGCGTGGGGGTGGGGTGGGTTCGGGCTACGGCTGTACTATCTGGTGACTGGTGTGCTGTGCCAAAGTACACGCACCATATCTGGCCAGACTCGCCGGCCCGGCCGTACACAAGGCTTATGATTGCCCGATAAGTACTAGTAGCTAGCGAATTACCGTCGTGAATAAAATCTGGTACCGACACACTAGTTTTCAAACTGTGCTCAGTTAAGTTGTGACCGAACGAACGAAAGGGAAATACTGCTAGAAGGGACTATGCCTGTGTGTGTTTGATGGTGAGGCAGGCGGCTTACGTTGGGGTGTAGATGAGGTATCTGAGTAACGGGAGCGACCGGAAGAGGCCGCCGGGGAACAGCTCCACGTTGCAGTGGCCCATGGCCCGGAGGAAGTCGGAAGAGAGCACGTAGGCGAAGGTCAGCCCCACGGAGCCCAGACCCGCGGCGCACGCGCCGGCGAGCGGCAGCGCCATGAGCAAGCCCAGCACCACGTGCTCCAGCGGCGTCGCGAACCCGGCTGCACGCATGCATGTGTCATGTGTGTTGAGAACTTGGGATCGATCGATCGATCAGTTCAATCCAGACAATTAACACAAAGTATCTTGGTCACGTACGTACCTGTGAAGGGCGTGGGCACCATGTTGGAGTGGTGAAGCGCGTGGTAGCGGGCGAAGAGGCGGGCGCCGTGGAAGGCCCTGTGCGCCGCGTAGAAGAGGGGCTCGGTGGCCGCGACGTGGAGGACGGCGGCGACGGCGAGGCCCCCGGTGTTCCACCCCGGGAGGTGCCGCAGCGACGGGAAGGCGTAGAGCGCCGTGGCCGCCATCGTTATCTGCAGTATCAGGAAGTTGTCCCTGGAAACACACACGGTCGCCGGAGCTGGATTTGTTAGCTCTTCGGTCGCATGTATAGGCATGCACGCACATGCGCACGCGTACGTGACGTACCAGTCCCACTCCTTGTCGATCTGCTCGAAGTCGACGCCGTCGCGGACGATGCGGCGGCGGCGGGTGAGGAAGAGCATGTTGCTGTAGGAGCTCCAGAGCTGGTAGGTCAAGGCCCTGAGCGCGAAGAGCGCCAGCAGGAGGCAGAGCCAGCGGTCGGGGCTCGCCGCCTCCCACGCCCGCCCCGCCAACGCCTTCCCCACCAGAGGCCCGTACAGGACATACTGAGGAGAAACGGCGACGCATGCATGCAAACGCCAGGCCTCGTCAGTAACACTCAGAGACAGGAGAAAACAGAAAGCAAACACAAATCCATCGTGCATACCTTGAAGAAGCCAAGGTTATCCCATGGCCATGAAGACAGGAACGCAGCACCCATATGCGCGCGCGTACCTAGCTAGTAGCCACACACAGACTTGGAGCCCCTGCTCGTCGCGCTCCCGTCCCCTCTGGCAGCGCAGAGCTCGGTTATGTCGCCGTGAGAGCCCGCGGAGGAGAGGGAAGGTGGCGAGAGGCGTGACACGGGAATGAAGGGAACACGGCACGGTACAGTTCCCCTGCGGGCTGCACCACACGTCTCTGGCCATCAGCGCCGCGCCCGCGCTGTTTATATACGCATGAGACGTGGTCGATCCATGAGGGTAAAGCCGAGCCACCAGTATCGGTCACCACCACCACCGCTGCCGCTACCACCACCACCACAGTGCGTACCGACCCGGCTAGCTAGCTCTCCAACCAGACGGAGTTAATTGATAGGGATGCGGGGAGAAAGAAACCGGGCCGGAAAATCAAAAGGGACGTGGACGGATAAATGTTCGCGGCAGCGACATGCATGCGTATGCCAACGCTGGCAGATGGAGTGTGCACCAGGTTGTTTCTTTTCACGCCTTCACCTCGAAGTCAAGCCCCCGGATCAGGTCAGGTCACGTCGCGTCGCATGTGGTTGCAGGCGCGACGCGCGCAGATTTCACGCGTCCGCGTCGCGTGATGCGTTCGCCGGTTCGGCTTGTCCGCGAGCAGCGCCGGGTGAGGACTGAGGACGAGATACTAGGAGCCAAGGCGCCACCGCGTCGTCGCTTCCGGTCCATGCATGTGTTTCTGTGGCGCTGGGCCGCCGGGTGATCACGTAGGGGGCGTTGCATGCAGCACTCGCCGGAGTTAATTCGGCACGGATACGGCCGATGGAACGGTCGCCGAACCCGGCCGGCTGGACCGCCAACCACCGGGCAGGCCGGGCTTTCAGCGCTAGTGGTTGCGGATACCTCCGGCTCCGGGGCCGAGCGGCCGCGACGACGATCGGTAGGCGGTGGCGGTGGCCGCGGGGCGTTGCATTGGTTGGCCTCGCAAGGATGACGATGGTGGACGGGACACGTCGGCCGATCGATGGCCCAGCTGCCGAGCCTTGACAGGCCGCCGGCACGTACGCTTCCATCTTGATTGCCTGCTTCAGGCCGGCCGGGAATCATTAATCTTTTGATTGACGTTGTGCCATTCTTGACGATGGGTTTCATGGACGGGATAGGCTTAGCTAGAGAGATTAATTAAGAGGGGGCAGGTTTGTGTCCAACTCTTAGCGCGTACTGGATCGCCGGGTCGTGGGGTGCTCCATCTAATCTAGCTAATCCCTATGAACTTTCGTGATGGAAATCTTTCGCACTAGTACAGTGTTTCCTTTCCTACTTACCCTAAGCATCGGCCACACTTAATTAGGAAGAGACGCCTGCCACGATAGCAAAAGGCATGCAGTGCGACTTCGGCGTCGATCCAACCGCCCGGAGCGGCCTGGCCTGGCGAGTGCCCTCGTCGGCCTCCCGCTGTTGTCTGTAACAATAAATAGAACGACTAAAACGACAGCAATGTGAAATGTCATGGGCAGCAACCAGTGGCGGTGCCAGGAATCAGAAGTCTGTGATGTCATTTGAAATCTGTGATGTTAAATACATGTGTTTTCACCAATTTTATGAATTTTTTTGCATGATTTCTACTTGTGTATAAAGGATTTGCCAAAAACCTGTGTGGTCAAATGACCACACTCCTCTCAACGTGGCTTCGCCGCTGGCAGCAACTGGTGTGTCTACGAATGTGGCGCATTGCTCTGCAAGTGCAAGCGAAAGTCAGAGAAAAAAATGGTTTCGCAGGTTTGGTGTTCGATGTATCCGGTTTTGATTTTTTTTAGGATGTATCCGCGTTTAAATTTGTGGGACTAAACCCACAATCCTACTACTCCCTTCGTACCTATGCAGTAGGCACATTACAAAATTAAATAATCCCAAAACGTTTAGACGTGATGCATTAACTCCGCACCTCGTTCTCTATTTCTTGCCTAGAAAAAAGAAAATGGTCAATTGAAGATGTGGGACGTTTGTGACTTCAATGACTTGAGACTACCAAACATGACATGCAGTGGCCAGTTCTTTGCATGCAATGGTGCAGTGGTAATAGCAAAAAAACATTAAATTATCTCATTTTTCCTTCCGTCTTGCTCGTGATGCACCATATAAGATGTCTAATGCACCGATATGAAGGGAGTATTGTTGATGATTTAAACATACATTTTTCTATCGACTGCATATATCCACAATATTAGAGGAAAGCAGGTTGTTGAAGAAAAAGTACTACCTTAACTGATTTCCTTTGATTACTCAGTAGCAGAACGACCAATCCATGTGGAGGAAGATGTGGCCACCGCCTCATCACCAATCGAGAGCTTTTATTCTGGACCTTGTTCGGTTCGCGACGCCATCGTCTAGGGCACTCGGCTCACCGACATAAAAAGGTCGAGTTCTCAACATATGATTCACCAATTTTGCATCCTCTGGACAAACAACCATCTCATCACTACCTCTACTAAATGTGGATTATCTGAATCGTTTTTGCTGGATTTGGATCTCCTAGGGATTGTACTCCTCTTGTAGGCATGCGGGCGGATGACGTCCCGGAATCTGTGAATGCCCTTAAACCTAGCACGAGTATCGAAGTAATAAAGATTAGTGTTTTTTCGGACTCGCAAACGGTTGAAGATGGCGCAGACACGTCTACATGCATTCACATTGCTTTGCCTACTTCGCGTTTTTCAAGGGCATGACGCACATGCTGAGAGCGGATGAAATTTGGTCATCCATGGTGCCTTTGCAGCTAAAGTTTTTCACTTGGTTGGTTATGAGGAACATGTGTTGGACCATGGACCCACTTCAAGCTCGTGGATTGCCACATGAAGGGGGCTTCACTTTATGATTGCAAGATCCCGGGAATCATCAACCATTTGTTCGTCCAATGCAGGTTCGACAATCTTGTGTGCCTTCCGGTTCTACAGTCTTTAGGGTCTTGACAGTCACATGCCGCAGCTGGATGTTGTGATCATCCACTGGTGGCTCGATATATCTGTGCTAGTGGCCAACAATCAGGAGAAGGATCAATGCCCTATCATTCTCACTATGCCTTAGACATGGAATGAAAGAAATTTATACACTTTCGATCAAATTTCCTCCCTCAGCGCAGTCTTGGGTGCTATCCATGCAAAATGGAAATTATGGGAGTTAGCTTGGAAGGAGAAGCAGAGGTCAAGTGAGTGAGTAGTCTGTTCTTATTCTATTGGTTGTGGCATTGCACCTGGTGCTTTCTGTCAGTGTTTATTGTAACTAGAACCCTCTTTCTCTCTTAATGAAATGACGTGCAAAGCACTTGCGTGTTCTGGAATTTTTATTGATAAAAGATGGTAATCCCTCACAATTTGATTAATGGGGCCAGGCAATAGATTCGTTTTATAACGTGAGTAAACGACATAGTCATTCTAAGGTTTATGTCTAGTCCCGTTTTAGAAAAATGCTTATAAATGTGAAGTGAAATAATCTAAGTGTCACTTTACTTGAGGACGATGTCGAGGATTCCCCTAGGAAAGACCAAAACGAAGAAACAAGTTGTGCCTATGGTGCCCCCACCATGCCCCTTGGAACCCAACCAGATGTCCTCTTTTGAGGAGCGTGTTGGTTTTAACAGTTCTGGTACTCATTTGCCAAAATCCATTAAGCAGGTGGTTCTTGTAGTTGATGATGTTCTTGAGACGCATGTGTTACCACCTGTTTCTAGGGCCCTCTTTATCTCCAAGGTTTGTGATTTCCTCACCACTTTGGGTGGTGGTAACCTTTGATCCAACAAGATGATTGTCTACCTTCTAGATGAGAAAGTAAACAAGGACAAACGCACCAAGGATGACGCTAATCCTTGATCGGGCATCTTGACTAAGAAAGCAAACATGAGCAAATGCATGAATAGTGACGGTAAAGGAAAGGTGTTGATAGTCAAATGATGGTTGATCTGCAACTTTTTAGGTTGTTATCATGGTTTCGTTGCGTTTGTCGTCGTTGTTGTGTTTTTTAAGTCACAACCAATTGTTGGTGTTTTTTGTGTGAGGTTGGGACTCAACACATGTGTCGAGGTTTTGCAGAAGTGTTGTGTCCATGCGTTTGATGATGGGCCATGGTGGTTGCGCTACTTCAAAAGTTGGGAGTAGTCGTAGTCCGCATGCCTTGTTGGGTTGTTGCTTATTGGCTTTTTATGGACAAGTTTGTAAGGTTTTCAACTTAATTAATTGAACCATTATTTTCTACAACTATGCAAATTAATTGAGCCATTATTTTCTGCTTCATTAGTGGTAGAGGCAAATCTTGTGCCTCTACTCTGAAAAAGATAATTTAATATCTGTACCCCGATGCATGATAGAACACACTCTCTCACCACTTGTGATGGATAGGGCCTTGGGGGCATGATTTTCAGTCTAACGCCCACATCCTAATTACAATTGCTCGGGACTACATACGTATTGGCATGTGCATGAAAAGCTATCTTCACCAAGAATTGCATACATACGTAGCGACATGTGTTTATGCATATATAGTTAAATGATGGATGATAGGCGGCCTTTTGGGTTGTTATCATGGTCTTGGTTGTGTTTGTCGTCGTTGTTGTGTTTTTTCACAGTTGCAGCCAATAGCCGGTGTTTTTTATGTGAGGTTCGGACACAACACAGGTTTGCAGGAGTGGTGTGCCTGGTGCGTTCGATGATGGGTCACGGTGGTTGTGTTGCTTCAAGGTTTGGGAGTAGTCGTAGTCTGCATGCCTTGTTGGGTTGTTGCTTATTCGCCATTCTTGGACAAGTTTGTAAGGTTTTCAACTTAATCAATTAAATCATTATTTTCTGCAACTACGCAAATTAATTGAACCATTATTTTCTGCTTGATTAGTGGTAGAGGCAAATCTTGTGCCTCTACTCTGAAAATGATAATCTAACATCCATACTGTTGAAATATGAGATGGGCCTAGAGCCCATATGACAATTTCAGATTTGATCTCTAAGGGCCCATGTAGGTGGTATGACAAGGT